ATGGGGTGTCTATTTTTTGTTTCCCCTAAAACCATATATGGACCGTAAACTTGGACAAATCCATTAATAACCCAAAGATCTCATACTTTCTGAGTTGTGATAAGGATTTGTTGTGATTTTTTGCAAGTCAAACATTTTTTATTTTCTTCCCACATGCCCCTTGCAGTTGCTATTCACATTTATTGGTAGGCCAGGCTCCAATTTTTCCTTTGTTGTACACCATAGTTTTTGGACAATCTTTCTTGACACATGAATTTAACGATTATCTTTGTCGATAAGCCTTTCTATAGCTGCCCTTCATTTGCATCACTTAACAATATATGAACGATTCTTCTTCTCTGCTCACATGTGAGTTTAACTGTGGCTAGAAACTGACCCAGATACCCCCCCTCCCCCCGTTGTTTTTGTTGGTGCAGGTAACAATGAGAGAAGGGTACCTTGACTTCGGGGTGAAGGTAGATGAAAGAAGTAAGGCTAAAGAAGGATGTGTAATTTATGTCTAATATTGTAAACGGAGAGAGAATCTAAGCTGTTGGGGGAGGGAACTTAGAAAACATTTTGGTAATTTGTAAAATTGGTTAAATTGTACTTGTAGCTTTGGATACAATTGGTAATGATTTCCTTTTCTGAATAGATGTGTTTACCCTATTTTACTGTTCTTTTACCCCATTCCCTTTTGTTTTCAGCCAGCCTCTAATTTAATAAATCAAGGACAACTTTAAAAAGTCAACATTAATTTTAATCATACTTTCAAACGTATGAAGTCAAATTGGAAACATGATTTCAAGACGGAAGGAGTATATGATATTGTTACATTTGCTACATCCACATTGGTCATGTATGTTTCACGACCTATGGGTGAAACTCTAGTATGGAATTATTCCTTTTTTCGGTAGGCATACTATTTAATAATTCATCCGTCCTATAAAAATTTCCCCGGTTTGTCTAAGATCGTAGTTTTAAAAAGTTAGTATATAGTGAAACTTTATGATTATGGTTGAGTAAGAAAAAAGTAAATGAATATTAGCCACACAAAACTTTCTAAAATGGGAAATGAGAAGAATTTCTGTTATGAACATCTCAAAATGGTAAGTGGCAAGATTTTTATGGGACAAATGAAATAATAAAATACTACCTGTGTACAAAAGGCAGAACAATGACAAAAGTTGCTTTACAATAAAACAAGACATTAATTAAAATAAAAAGTAGCACATGTGTCTCCACTAAAAGTAAAAACTTTAAATAGCGATTGAAAATATTTTTTCACGGAATATTGTCACGTGAAATCATTTATGATAGCTTCACAATCATTTTTTCCTACCATTTCATTCTATACGCTTAATAATATTAATTCACCGAGTCTTTTTTGAAAGAAATCAGACAATTATTGTACTATGAATAGTATTCTATGAACAATTGTTCTTTGCATACTCCGTATATAGTTACACGGATTTTGATAAAACCATAAATTTTATACAATGTGTATTTATCATTGGGTACAACATTTTGTCACATTTCAAAATTTTGAAATAGATTGTTAGTGTCACCCTATCTTCATATTCTTTTTCACAATCTTGAAGAGCATTTTTAATTATTTTAGCGCACTTATTCAAGTTTTCATATTCCAAAGGTTTAAAATTTATTTTCTTGAACGCAACAAAATCAGAAAGCACGAATTTCACCTGATAAAATCTACTTTGTCGATAAAAACATCATCCATCATACGGAGTGATGGACAATCTACCCGGGGGGTATCTTATCCGGGGGGTTATTGCGGGAATAACTTAGAGAGAAGTCAGAGTAAATAGGAGGAGAGAGAGTCGATTTTATTGAATGAACTCGAGATGTGGGATCTGGGATGTAGATGATGATTTACAAGGAGAAATGGGCTGCTATTTATAGCAGCAATAAATGCGATGAGAGGACACGTGTCAGTAATCCAACGGCCGAAGGGTCACATCAGCCGGTTGGCACCGGCAGTGGTACGTTCACCGCATTAAATGCGGTTGGCGGATGTGATGTAGCATTGAATGCGGTGGTTGGCTGTCTCCAAAAGGAATCTTCGATGATTGAGCGTGTCTGGCCGAAGGCTCCTGGTGTAGCCGAGGGCTCCATGCGACCAGGACCCCTGTGTAGCCGAAGGCCTCATGTAGCCGAAGGCCTCATGTGACCGAAGGCTATGATGCCGAGGGCTTGACAATGCCGAAGGCTCATGTTTTTTGCCGTTTTCTCCCAGTAGCTTCTTATGCCAGAGAAGGCTATTCTGTGAGGTTTGGAGCCTTCGGCCAAGGAGGCCGAAGGCACCCCAGCGTGTATTCTGGGCTACTTTGAGGCTTGGGCCGTTGTATTTGGGCCTGAGTTGTTCCCTGAGCCCAATGGACTTATGTAGGAGAAGTAGGAGTCTATGGGCCGGGGGTTCCTGGGCCATATACTCCATCAGGAGTCCCTCACTCCTTTTGTCGAAAGGTATTTGAGGGAAAAGGAGTAGATGTGTTGATTCTTCCGGAGGCTCCATCATTTGGTTGGGCGCCTTTGCTTGAGAGCTGCTTTCTGCTGATTGCCGAAGGCTTCCCTCAGTCCCTCACACGTCGAGGGTTTTCTGAGGGAAGGTATTCATGACCTTCGGTATGTTTGCCGGGGGCTCCCCTCAGTCCCTCACATGTCGAGGGTTTTCTGAGGGAAGCATAGATGTATTTCCTGCATGTGTTGTGATGAGGTCTGCTTCATTTCCGCAAGTGACTTGGGGAAAACTTGTGATATCCTGCCTCTGCCGAAGGTGTTCCACTTTGATGTTTGTCCGGAGGCTGCACGCGTCGATTGTAAATTGTTTGTATGAAGAAATTTTTGTTCTGTATGATTCCCGAGGGGTATACCCCAGTCCCCCACTCCTTTAGGCCGAAGGCGAGTTCGGTTTAAAGGAGTTATGATGTTTGCGTGTAGCCCCGAGGGGTGCCATTAACTGGGAGTGAAATTGTCGATAAGCCGAAGGCTTAGACTACTGCTTTCTCGAAGGTGTCCGGTGAAAGTAATCACCGAAGGCTGTAGTTGGTGATAAGCGAAGGCTATTATCCGAGGGCGTCCTGGTATTTCGGAAATATGGCCGTTGTAATAGAGCCGTTGGAAGAGGGGCACACGTGGCATGCTCCTGTTGGTCGAAGGTGGGCGGGTGCCACCCATTGGCTGAGGCGAAGGTTCGTAATGATGGGCTTTCCAAATCGAGGCCCAAATTTCGAGGCCCAGTTGCCTATAAATACCCCATGGCAGAGCTCAGTCCTCCTTGTGCGTTCATAAACTCTAGCGAAGCTCTGCCGAATTTTTTAGAGAGAGAAACATTTGCCCTCGATTAAACTCCAATCCCAAAGGTCAGTCCTTTCATCTGCTCTCTGTTTCCTCAGCATACTTAGCTTTATTGTCCTTAGACTTGTTGCCTTAGAGACGCTAGGAATCCCCGGTTAGAGCCTTCGAGTAGTGGTTTCCTTTCTACCTTTCGCTTCGTACTTAGGGAAGAATGTCGTCGCAAAGCGATTCCCAGGATATCTCGAGGGAGGCCCCGGTGCATTCTGAGAGTATATCCGAGGTGGAGTCCTCAAGTGAACAGCCCTCGGATATCAATGATTCGCAAGTAGCTGCCGAAGTTCAGAACCGGCTCATAACTTAGTTGGTGTCTTCATTTCCGCTCAGTCTCACGTTGCTTTGCTTAGTTGGTGTCTTCATTTCCGCTCAGTCGATTGGTAAATGGTAATATTAGTATTGCTTTGCTGTTTTGTCTGCTTTTTCGCTCATTTCTGCCAATCTCTATTTTGTTGAAGATGAGAAAGTATGATGTTTTTAATAACACTATTTAATGTTAAATTTATATATGTAAAATAGCTCTAGGAAAATTAAAATAAAGGTTAAAAACAAAGCACCTTTTCACGCCTAAACACCGCCTAAGTTCGTCTAGGCTCCAAAGGCTTAAGGCTTTATCGTGCCAATTCGGTACGGCTTACGCCTTTTAGAACATTGAGTAGGAGTACAAAATGATGTACTAATATTACTATATAATATTGTGTGTGTATTAATCGTTTATATTCCGTATATGTTTATAATATACTTGTATAAGACTATAATATTGTTTGTGTATATGAAGTATACATATACGAGGGCTGTTTGAGTTGTGGGAATGTTAAAAACCCACAGGGATCGTGCGGAGTTCACCACACCTTTATGTCAGGCAGTGTTCTTGTGCGCACGAGTATAAGGTTTATCACTGACAGAGTATATAGATTCGGACCACTGATATCATGCCCATTGGGTCTGGACAGCGATCCACACACGCTTAGCGGATATCATTCATATTATAATACATTATTATTCAGATATTCTAGATTAACTTTTTGATGGTCTGTCAATCCCATATTAAAGGCCCAGACCTGAATTTCTCTATATATACTCATTTTGGAGCGTGTAAACCCAAGCATCAATATTACACCACATTACACTATTCATCATCTTCTTCTGTATTTCTTTAGCCCAATCTCTTCTATTATTATTAAATTGAATGTCCTATATAATCCATCAATCATCAATGCATATTTGAATTGATTAGGTCACTATGACTTACATATTCCAGAATTTCATATCCAATCAGAAATCTTAGGGTTGAGGACTCAACCGTTTGAAACATGAGGGCCGGGTGAGTTGAAGAATGAGGGGGCAACCGCGGTTATGCCCCTTTGGATCCGGCATACAAGAAAATTGGAACAATGATGAATTCTAGGGGGTGTTTGGATCTGATTCTTAAAACTTGGAGTGTTTGGGTGAAAGTCCAGAAGTAATTTTAGTGTCTAATTTACTCCTAGAATCAGTTTTTTAGAAGCTGAGGGGAACCAGCTTCTGAAAACTGATTCTGCTTCTACTTTAAAAAAGAAGTAGAATCAGAATCAGTTCCAAACACCTTCTAATCCATAAACAGTTTGATGAGAAATTGGTTGATAAATACCAACGAAAATGAATTAGAGCATAACAAATAGATTCAGAAATTTTCAAAACACAAAAAAAAAAACAAATAGATTCAGAACAGAAATACACAATAGTCTGAGGATTAATTTAATCTTTTTATACAACAAAAGTGTTGAAAATCATTGTTGAAGCAGATGCTTGATGAAACTATCTATACTCACATGAGATGAACCAGTTGGAACCACAGCAGCATCTTCAGCCATCTTCTTCCATTCCATGGCTCTCTTCTTCATCTCCCTCCCCTTCTCCCCTTCCATCAACTCCCTCACAAGCCCCTCAACCTTCTCCCTCTTCACATCCCCATCAATCTCCATCCCAATCCCCCACTCCGTGCAAGCCATCCGGCAGTTCGTCGGCTGCTCTGCAAAAAACGGCCAGCAGAGCATCGGCACGCCGTTGCAGATGCTCTCCACCGTCGAGTTCCAGCCGCTGTGGGTCAAGAACCCGCCGACGGAGGGATGGTTCAGCACCCTTTCCTGCGGGCACCAGCTGGCCAGCATCCCCATGTGCCTCGTCTCCTCCACGAACTCCGGCGGGAGCATCGCGCCGGCGCCGGAGACCAGGTCCGGCCGGACGATCCAGAGGAAGGGTTTGTTGGAATTGGCCAATCCCCACGCGAATTCCACCAGCTGGGCGGCGGTCATCACCGTTATGCTCCCGAAGTTGACGTAGACGGTGGAGCTCGGCGGCTTCGTGTCCAGCCAGTCCAGGCATTCAGAGTCTTCTTTCCAGAGGTTGGTGGAGAGGGATTTGACGGATTTGTCCTCGACCTGGTTCTCCAGGAACTGTAATGGGCCGATGGCGTGGACGGGCGGAAGCATGGACCGGAGGGCGAGGAGAGATTGGTGCTCTAAGGCGTCGAAGGTGTTGATGACGATGGCGGAGGCGTGTTTGGCTCGCTCTGTTTCTTGGAGGAAATATTGGAGCATGAAGTCGTCTGGGTTTGTGGTTCTTATGAAGCTGGGAAGATCTCTCAGACGTATTCCGTTCATCCCCTCCAGGCAATCCAGCTCCGTCTCCAGATGGCCATTGGTCAAGTAACTCTCGTCTGTAACAAAATTTGTTGGTCAAGTAACTTTCCCATGAAACAAACATTTTTCTTTTGGGTAGAGTTGAACTAAGTACTAACATGAGTTGCATCTAGCATGATTTTTGGGATGTTTTTTTTGGTTGGATTGATTTTTCCCCGTGATTAAACAACATTAAACTTAAATTCATCGGTTAAAATTAGATTAAGTGTTCGTTTGATTATACTGAAATTGGCTGAATCAGTCGATTGTATTGAAATTTATGAGTTCTGATTGAAATGTTGCATTGACCGATTCTGCTGATTTATAAAAAAAAATTAATATATACTACCTCCGTCCCATTTTATGTGTCTTAGTTTGACTTGACACAATTATTAATGAAGTGATTGAAAAAGTAAAAGTTGTGGTTGATGTTTGAGTATAATAAAGTGAAATGGTGAAAACCACGTATTTCTTTGCAAAAAAGGAAAGGAGACACTTATTTTGAGACAACCCAAAAAGGAAATTAGGACAAGTAAAATATGACGGAAGGAGTACTACATATTTTATTAACAAAATAAAGAAAAAATTATGTGAAAAATAGGTAGCATGGTCATCTACAGTGGCGGATGTGGTTTATGTAGGGTATTCACATGAACACAAAAAAAACAGGAATATGTATATCTGAAATTCTGAATTAGAGTAATAATTTGTTTAATACGAAGTAGTATTTTAAAGAGAAAATGTATGTTTTTGAAACCCAAAATGTAAATACTAGGTCCACCACTGGTCATCTATAATAACTTCAGCCAATTCCTTTCGAGCGTATAAAAAATAGTAACTTCAGCCAATTCATTTCCGATGTATAAAAAAAATAGTAATTTCAACCAATGATTTCAGAAAAATAACTTCAATCTTACTTACGGTATATTGATTATTATACAATTCAGTACGCAAAATCAAAAGTTACGTGTTTTGTGAAAAAGTTAGTTGATAAAGTTGATAAGCCGAAAAATAGTACAACCAATTAAACAAGCTCTATATCAAAGTTAGGCCATAGTGAAATAAAAATAGAATAGACTTCTACAACATACTTAAAAGAGACATGATCAAATAAAGAATTTCAATTCAAATAAAAACATTTCTAACATTACGGATTACTCTGTATATCTAAACAAATCCAGTCGAACTATGATTCAGACATTAACCACTAGCTCCAACTTGTTATGCCAAAATAGTCCTGTAGTCACCAAAATTTTCCGCTCACTTTTTAACTTTTACGAGTATGATGTTTGTTGTTTTACTATGCTACCCGAATCAGCGACTTTTGTAGCAATAATTAAATGGCGACTTGTCTACATCGCACCAATGAATGAATCAATGAAAAACAATAGTTTTAAAATTGAAATGATTTATTTGATCATGGATCGAAAGTATTGATAAATATAACACTCCAAACAAACATATTGGAATTTAAGATAATATTCTTAATAGATTTGACTTTTTCAGACAGAAGAGCAATACCTTTGAGGGGTATGTAACCTTGGTCAACTAGTTGGGCATAGTGCATATAACCCAAGAAGCCACAAGCGCTAGGCGTCCAGAAAAGAACCTCCGGGATCCCCAACTGATCGGCGGCGGCCAAGGTGAAGCTCATAACGCCATCGGAAACAACGCACGACACCGGCGGTGCGCAGGGGTCGGCGGCAGCGGCGTCATTAAGCCTTCCCAGAAGCTCCATAAAAGGAACCAAACATTTCGTAGCAGTGGACTCACAGAGGGAGGGGATGTCTTGGGTGGCATCCGCGTCGGACGGAGGAAGACCGTCGGGGATCGTCTCGAACCGGAAGGACGGGAGGCCCCGGAGGGACTCCGGCCCCCGGGATTTGAGTAACCGCCGGTGGTTGAACTCTGTGTTGACGAAGGTGATGTGGAAGCCTTTGTGGTGGAGAATTTTGGCCAGTTTTAGCATTGGGTTTATATGGCCTTGGGCAGGGTATGGCACACATACTGCATGGGGCTTGGGGAGTTCACTGCTGATAGATCCCATTTTTTGGTTACTCACTTGACACTTCCTCTGTTTAGCAGAAGTTGTGTGAGAGTTTTTTATTGCTTTGAAATGAGGGGATGGGATTCATGGGATGAGAATTATGGAAAGGCATTCTCCCATTTATATTGCAATGATAATGAAAATATTTTATTCTATCTTTTGCTCCTGCAAGTCTGTAAAGTACTTTACATTTGCTTTTGACATATTGTTTTAAAAAAAATTAAATTTTGTCAAAGAAAGTGTTAGTGTTTCCTCAGGTACACCGTTTCCTATAACTCATTACGTTAGTTGTAATAATTTTTCTCCCAAATATCGGGTCTTTTTGGCAACAATTACCACAGGTTATGAGCCTCGCACGTACCAAGAAGCGGGTAAAGACCCCAGATGGCGAGCATCCATGAGTGAGAAATTAAAGCTCTGGAGGACAACAACACCTGGACGATGGAACCCCTACCTTCGGGCAAACGTGCATTAGGATGCCAATGGGTCTATAAAATTAAATATCACGCCAACGGGAGTGTCGAACGTTTCAAACCTCGAATGGTCATTTTTGGAAATCGCCAAATTGCTGGTTTGGATTATACTGAAACTTTTGCTCCTGTTGCAAAAATGGTGACTGTTCAGGCATTTCTGGCAATAGCTGAATCCAAGAACTGGGAAGTTCATCAAATGGACGTTCATAATGCCTTTTTACACGACAATCTTGACGAAGAAGTTTATATGCAATTGCCGCCCGGTTTCTCTTCGCCAGACTCTCGCATGGTGTGCCGTCTTCGTAAATCTCTCTATGGCTTGAAACAAACTCCCCGTTGTTGGTTTGCGAAATTAGTAAGTGCTTTGAAAAATTGTGGTTTTCTTCAGTCTTATGTTGATTACTCATTATTTACGCGCACACGTGGTGAGGTGCAACTCAACGTTCTTGTTTACGTTGATGATTTGATTATTTCTGGTAATAATAGTGAGGCTATCATGGCCTTTAAGCTATATTTGAGTGATTGCTTTCATATGAAAGATTTAGGTGCCTTGCAGACGCGGTATTTCTTGGGCATTGAAGTTGAGCGAAGTGCATCTGGTTTTTTACTTTCCCAGCGCAAATATAGTCTGGATATTATTTCTGATACTGGTTTGCTTGGTAGTAAACCAGCGGCTACTCCTCTTGAACAAACCCACTCTCTGGCCAAAGCCACATGCCCTCTTCTTACGGATCCCGAATCTTATCGTCGGTTGGTAAGGCGCCTCATTTATTTGGTTGTTACTCGTCCTGATCTTGCCTATTCCGTTCATATCCTCTCTCAATTTTTGCAAGCTCCACGTCAGGAACATTGGGATGCTGCCCTCCGGCTGGTTCGTTATTTAAAAGGATCTCCTGGTCAATGTATTTTACTTAGCTTGGTGCAGATAGCACTCTTACTTTGTCTGGATGGTGTGATTCTGACTGGGCAGTTTTCCCACTTACGCGCAAGTCACTATCGGGATGGTTGGTTTTTCTTGGTCATTCTCCTATCTCTTGGAAAACCAAAAAACAGACCACCGTTTCTCGTTCATCGGTGGAGGCTGAATATCGTTCTATGGCTACTGCCACTTGTGAGCTCAAATGGTTGAAAGCGCTGCTACTTAGTCTTGGGGTTAATCACACTCAATCTATTCCTCTTTATTGTGATAGTTAGTCCGCGCTACATATTGCTCGCAATCCCGTGTTTCATGAACGCACCAAACACATTGAAGTTGATTGTCATTTTGTTCGTGACGCCTTTAAAGATGGCCTTATTGCTCCAAGTTATGTACCGACTACAACTCAATTGGCTGATATCTTCACTAAAGTTTTGGGTGCCACACAATTTCATGCTACAAGTTGGGCATTTTGAATTGAATCTGCATGCTCCAACTTGAGGGGGTGTTAGCTTATCATTAGCATATATATTCTTTCCATATGTGTTGATGGACTATTATTAACGTATCATTAGTTATTTCCATAGAATAGGCCCATATCTTGGTTGTATATATTTAACCTAGGGCTCTCTTGCTGAAGACGTGAATATACATTTAGTTTTATACATCATTGCAGCTGTGTTCTCAGAAAGTTACTACCGTATTTGTGTGTGTTTTTGAGTCGGATGGTCCGAGTTTAATAACTAATTCTAGATTTCTAGGCTGCTAAGAATCCGTAGTAACCCTTCATAAAAGAAAATTTGAGTAGCGCTGGTGGCGTATCCACTACCGTATTTGTGTGTGTTTTTGAGTCGGATCGTCCGAGTTTAATTGGTCATTGTATCGCTAGTGGCTATCCACTATGGCACTCAACCCCAATTAACCCAACCCTTACACATATATAAAATTTTATAAGAAATTGCTCAAAATAAGATTTAAATGTAGAAAAAACTAAAATAGGATTAAGAGTGTTTTCTTTCATATTAAAAGAATGAAATGCTAAAAAAATCACTAAATGTTGTTATGTTTAACTTATACTACGTATTTGGTTAATTTTCTTAAATTTTATACGCAATTGCATCTTTAGACACCCGTAATATAAACTATTCTTCTTTTTATTCATACTTGTACATACATATCTTAATCTAAATTTAATCAAACAATATTAATAATGTGATTTGCTATTTGTGAAATATAAGACTAAATTGTAGTGCAAGTTTGCCCACACTCGCCAAATTTCCTGGATACGGTGTCGCTATATATATTCGACAACTACTTTCTCATACAAGAGTATTTATGATTTGGTAACAATATGGTAGGTGAGTCGTGAGTAGGGCTGGGACCGATTCGCTTCCTATATGAAATTAACGGATCCTTTATAAAAAATTTAACTAATCAAATCGGTTCGGTTCTTACTTTTATCGGTTCCAAAACATAATTTTTTTCCATAAAAAAAATTAACACATGCAACTTATTATCTACAACGCAAAAACTCAAAAATTCAAAGCACAAACAACAAGTATTTTTTGAAGCTCTTATCACTTCAAGTATCAAGTCCAAACTTAATTAATTCAACACTTAATATAATGTTTTTTTAATCTTGTTTGTAAATAAAATATGAAAATCATTGTCAATAAAAGTTGGGTCATCATAGAATAAGACGTCTAGTCCAAGTTCTTCAAAATGTTTAAAAACATATTGAATACGCAAGTACAAATATAAACATCATTACATTTCAAATTCTAGGATATTTATACTAAATCTCACATATACAATCATCTTGAATATTATAAAGAAAAAATATATCGAACCAACAAGAATTTATTAGGGTTACTTTTATAATTATGAAATTTCCATTATGGAACAAAATATGATTTGTAACAAAATGAGGTTAATGTATTCATCCTCATCTGTTTCCATAAATTAAATTTGAATTGTTATTGTGTGACTAAATATCATCGATTATATTATTATTATTGCTATTATTATTTCTATTATTATAGTTATTGTTAATGTTATTATTATTATTATTGTTATTCTTATTATTCTTATTATTATTACTATTATTATTGTTATAATTATCATCATGATTATTATTACTAGTTATACTTTCAATTTTTAATTTTTTTTAATAACAGTTCCTTAACGATTCCGTAGACATGTTTTTTGTAGAAATCAGGAACCGAACCAGTAACAAAGAATATGAACTGCACCGTTAACCATTTATAACTCATGTATAGGAACCGAACCGGATTTTAACGGTTCGATTCCAACCGTTCTTCTGTTCTTGCTTCGTAAGTCCCTCCCCTAGTCGTGAGTAGTACTTGTGCAGTAATTATGATTTGGTGATCTTTTTAATTATTTGGACATCCACGATCCGACAATTTTAAATTGGCAATTTTTTGGTTTTTATAAAAGTTGCACAAGTACTTTTTTGTCATTATCTTTTTATAAATGTGTTGAATTGCCTTCTCAAAAATCGTTAATAGTAATTGTATGACAATTTTGGTGTAATGTATTACAGTTGTCTTTGGTAATTGTATGATACTTATATGTATGCTCTTATCATTGTTTTGTCATTTGACAATTGCGTTCTGATAATTGCCAGTGCTTGTGTAATAACTGGATTTTACGTAGTAACTGTGTGGTAACTGGTAAGTGTACGTGTAGTATTTGTATTTATGTAAGTTAGCTATATATCGTTTAAGTGTAACAATATTTTAACTTTTAATGAGTTTGGTTTAGTATTGGGATCAGGATCCTCTGTCTCACGACATGATGCCTTGCGGCATCGGACGACAGCAGAGCGATGAGGGCGGCCTCGAGATTGGAGGAGTGGACTCCAACATTTCTGACCCTTCATTTTTCTATCGGACGGTTGCGAAGAAGCAAAGCACTCTACCTTGCTCTAATGCAAGGTAGAAGCTCTGGATCGATCCTTAATATTGGGATCCGGATCCTTAGTATCGGCCTTGAGAGTGTCTTAGTGTTGTTCACTCTAATAATTATAATGTTCACTTAAAAAGGTTAGACTATTTTGAAATAGAAGTATTATATTTTTATATAATATTCAAAAAGAAGTATTATATTTTTATTTTTTAAATAAGAGTGATCGCGTTAAGTTTAGAAAATATTTTTTAAAATCACACTCAAAGTCATGATAGTAAATTTTCAAAATGATAGAAACATGGTCCTATTAATGGGAAAAAATACTAATGGATAATAGGGATCCAAACATATAATAAATGAAGAGATTTGAGCTCAAGAGTGTAGAAGATGATGAATAGTAAATTTGTGTATAAGTTATGAATTGTCACTTAGGGTTTACAAGCTCCAAAAGGAGTATATATAGAGAAATCCGGGTCTGGGCCTTTAATATGAGCCTGACAGACCCGATTATATAAAAGGACTCATAACATAAAAGGCTAATCTAGAACATTTTTTTATGAAAGGTGGCTTAGATTGATATCACATCATTCAGATAAGGGCTACAAAGACAAAGAGACCGCAGGCAACCGTCGATCATCGAACCAGCCTTAGAATTAACCACTTCAAGAGAAGCAGTATAATTCGATGATCCATTTATGGGCACAACTGAGCCAAAGACAGAAAGCACAGACCTCCTGTCACCCAAATCCAAACTCAAAGTTTTACCATGCAGATAAAAAACAAACTCACAAAAAAAAAGTACTTTGGCTGGCTTAACTTCCCAGACCTCCTGTCACCCAAATCCA